TCATCTGCCAGAGTCACGGCCGCGTTCGTCATACCAGTTGTTGGTGCTTTATAGTCCGTTATTGTCCTTAGTCCCCGCCACAGGCTCCTAGAGTCACTCTGTTGGAGTTGTGACTCTAGTTTCCTCCCGTAGCGCTGCTTCGCCTCTTTCACCGCCCTCCGCACGTTATATGACGCGGCTTTGTACGGGTCCATGTCCCCCGTCGTGAGTCCCGTGTTGTAGGCAGCGGTGCGGGATCTCAGAGCGTCGCGGATGGTTTTATCCACCCACGGCTTCTGGTTGGGAAACGTTGTGATAGTCTTTGTCTCCACGGTATCATCCGCTAGTTTCCCGATGAATCCCACAACTGCTTCCGTAATATATATATATACAGTGGGGCAAAAAAGTATTTAGTCAGCCACCGATTGTGCAAGTTCCCCCACTTAAAATGATGACAGAGGTCAGTAATTTGCACCAGAGGCACATTTCAACTGTGAGAGACAGAATGTGAAAAAAAATATCCATGAATCCACATGGTAGGATTTGTAAAGAATTTATTCTTAAATTAGGGTGGAAAATAAGTATTTGGTCACCTCAAACAAGGAAAATCTCTGGCTCTCACAGACCTGTAACGTCTTTTGTAAGAAGCTTTTCTGTCCCCCACTCGTTACCTGTATGAATGGCACCTGTTTGAACTCATCATCTGTATAGAAGACACCTGTCCACAGCCTCAAACAGTCAGACTCCAAACTCCGCCATGGCCAAGACCAAAGAGCTTTCGAAGGACACCAGGAAAAGTATTGTAGACCTGCACCAGACTGGGAAGAGTGAATCTACAATAGGCAAGCAGCTTGGTGTGAAAAAATCAACTGTGGGAGCAATCATCAGAAAATGGAAGACATACAAGACCACTGATAATCTCCCTCGATCTGGGGCTCCACGCAAGATCTTATCCCGTGGGGTCAAAATGATCATGAGAACGGTGAGCAAAGATCCCAGAACCACACGGGGGGACCTGGTGAATGACCTGCAGAGAGCTGGGACCAAAGTAACAAAGGTCACCATCAGTAACACACTACAACGGCAGGGAATCAAATCCCGCAGTGCCAGACGTGTTCCGCTGCTGAAGCCAGTGCATGTCCAGGCCCGTCTGAAGTTTGCCAGAGAGCACATGGATGATACAGCAGAGGATTGGGAGAATGTCATGTGGTCAGATGAAGCCAAAGTAGAACTTTTTGGTGTAGACTCAACTCGTCGTGTTTGGAGGAAGAAGAATACTGAGTTGCATCCCAAGAACACCATACCTACTGTGAAGCATGGGGGTGGAAACATCATGCTATGGGGCTGTTTTTCTGCCAAGGGGACAGGACGACTGATCCGTGTTAAGGACAGAATGAATGGGGCCATGTATGGTGAGATTTTGAGCCAAAACCTCCTTCCATCAGTGAGAACTTTGAAGATGAAACGAGGCTGGGTCTTCCAACATGACAATGATCCAAAACACACCGCCCGGGCAACAAAGGAGAAGCATTTGAAAGTCCTGGAGTGGCCTAGCCAGTCTCCAGACCTCAACCCCATAGAAAATCTGTGGCGGGAGTTGAAAGTCCGTGTTGCTTGGCGACAGCCCCAAAACATCACTGCTCTCGAGAAGATCTGCATGGAGGAATGGGCCAAAATACCAGCTACTGTGTGTGCAAACCTGGTAAAGACCTATAGTAAACGTTTGACCTCTGTTATTGCCAACAAAGGTTATGTTACAAAGTATTGAGTTGTATTTTTGTTATTGACCAAATACTTATTTTCCACCCTGATTTACGAATAAATTCTTTACAAATCCTACCATGTGGATTCATGGATTTTTTTTTTTTCACATTCTGTCTCTCACAGTTGAAATGTACCTCTGGTGCAAATTACTGACCCTCTGTCATCATTTTAGGTGGGGGAACTTGCACAATCGGTGGCTGACTAAATACTTATATATATATATATATATGTGTGTATATATATATATATATATATATATATATATATATATATATATCAATCATTCCCCTATTGTGTATATTTATTAATATATTTATTGCCTGTCTGTCTTTCAAATACTGGTTTTAAGCTGAGAACTACCGCGCAAAACTTTCATTATGTGAGTGCATAATGATAATAAAGATTCAATGGTTATGTCAGTTATGTCTATCCATGGGCAACACTTTAGAGTCCAGGGCCTGCTCAAAGAGCTGCTGAGATATGCTGAATCTGTGAGCACTCTCTCGCTCTTGTCAAATGCACAAACATGCACAAACAAAACCATCACTCTCTTATCTGTGGACTGAGGAGCACTGACTCTGTGCAGACATTGCTTTATAACTGGGCTGTGTCTCTGTATACAAAAGGAAATCACCCACTCGTCATGAAAAAATGAAATCTCTGTCAGACATCCTGGCTCTGAGATGAGAAAAAAATGAGAAAAGTAACAAATTTAAAAAGAATAAATCAGATTTAGACTAGCTGATGTTGAAAAAAAACCCCAATTTTTTGTCCTTCAGTATTTAGACAAATCTTTCTCATTTTCTTGTATTATGTACTTTTAATTAGATGGACTGGATCAGCTATTCTTTAGTAATTCTTTATCCGAGCAAGGATTTACTCATTGTTTCCTAATTGTTTTTAAAGATTGTACTGAGGATAGACTGACAGATAGTAGTGATGTCGGGGGTCAGCAGCCATAGGGAAGTTAGGACGGCTGACCCCTCAACAGGACAAAGTGTTCAGAGGTGTTGACTTAAAACTGCCCAGACTCTAGAGTGGCTTTAGCCCTGTCTTTTGGCTGACCTATCCCAAGTGCTCACCGCAGGAAAGATCAGCAAGACAGTAAAAACTCAATGCGAGACCCAACACAGTGGGAGTTCTTGGATCCTGATACTCCCAGGATCCTTGGTGGCAGAATATGCTGACTTATCAACACCACTTGAAACACACATTTGAAATTCTTGGAGAGTGTTTGGTGTTTCCATGTCAATCAGTTTCTTGACTGCAGGAGGCGTCAGCATAGATCTAAAGTAGCTGTATGTCTGTGCAACGGAGGAAGTAGAAGTCTTGTCCAGTACTGTTTAGTGGGTCTTTCTGTCTTTTCTTTAATGTATTGCTACAATAAAGAAAGCAATATGTAGTGTTTATCAGATGAGTTAGTTATTGTGGTTCATATGTATGAAAAAGCTAAAAAGTGTAAAATAAAAACTTAGGTTTCCCAACAGTGAAGAAATATTCTGATATCCTGATTAGATATTATATTTATATAATATCTAATCAGGTAATTGCATAGCAGCAACTCAGTACATTTAGGCATGTAAACATGGTCAAACTGTTTACACTTTGGGACCCTTTGTACCAACTGATCATCACTGTTGATGGTGATTCTTAATTTTTCATTAATTTGACACTCTTTACAAACCCCTTCTTCATCTTGTAATTTTTAGAAAATTTAAATAAGGGCACAGCCATTCTGCAGGTCCAGAGACGATACATTTGGGTGAGGAAACTCTAGGCTGTGGTATTTGTGGCTTTACAGTTTTATAGCGTTAGTAGCCAGGTCATGGTATACATATCACACCAGTCTCTAATTCAGACCTGAACACAAGAATAACGACACTCGAACTCAGTTCAGCACTACTTTGTTCCCAGTCTTTTCACGTGTTTTTGGCAATTGTTTTTCTAGTGAGCCTAATTTGTCTGAATGATTTGAATGTCTATGTCAGACTCCATGAGTAAACACAGAGCAGAGCAGAGTTAGTTAGGGGGAAGTTACTTAGTTTGTGTTTACAAAGCAGACAAAACAGTCCGGGCACTTTATTTATGAATACTTGATCATTTATTTAAAAAATGACTCACATTAGCGGTTTCTATGGTAATGCATCATTTTGTCTTCAAGAAATTTGTTCAATATTAGGGCCATGCCTTGAAGTTACTAGCAGCGTTTTTGAGTTTGAAGTTTGAAGGACCATACTAGAGTGGATGAGCTTACTGACAGTCAGATAAATAATTTTATGTAGTTTACTGGAATCATGGTGCCCAAGCTAATGTGGTACAATCACCTTGTCCTTGGACAATTAAACACACTGACCATGATGCATAATGTCTGCACAAAATGACTAGTTACTGTTACTATTTGTGTTTTTTAAGGGTTGCTAGGTTACAAGAAGTACATGTCTACATGATTTCAATTATTACTAATTACCCAGTTTTACTGCAGCAGCAAAATCATGCAAAGTACAGCTGCCAAAAACGACAAACCCACCTCCACATTGTATCTTTTTAATCCCAAAACCTCAAATAGCGTCAGCAAATAAAGGTTAGCGCTCATCTTTTGGAAGCTACAAATTGCTCCACTTACTTTGAGCGAGAGACTTATGATTGCATCAGAGTGCTTAACCCTTTGTTGTTGTTATCGTTGCTGTCATTTTATGTTCTCCACAGTGGGTGTCTAAACTGTTTCCAACTTACCAAGAACCAGCACATACCAAATCCTCCTCTTAGCATGCAGATTGTGAAATTATTAGACTAAATGTTGCTGTTTCCTACTTTGCAAACTTTCTTTTCCCTTTTCAAAATCATCAGTAACTGAATATGTGAGAGGATATATGTTGTTCATGAACAATAGGTTGCATGTTGAAGATGGATGTAGTTTCAGGGTTTGAAAAGGGACGTGGAAGTGTCTTAAACCTGAATTTTTTCTCTTGGACAGCAGAGGATGGCTTATCTGCTGGAAAAACATAGTCAAACTGTATGGAAGTCAATCAGAAAACCCCCTCGGCTTCATTGCTCCATGATCTGAGTAAATATTGATGAATTGATGGTCTCAGTCGCTAGTTTCAAGTCTTAGTGATACAACATGATGTTTGTTTTGTAAATTATGGTCCCTGCTAAACTCAATAGGCATAATAAAGCAGGTATTGCTTTTGGACAGGCCTACCATATAACGTATTAGTCATTATGCTACAAACATGCAGCGTTTCTTGGTTTCTCAGTCATGTTCATCCCTTGCTAAACCATATCTGGTTTCAACGCATCAAGATGGCAACTGGACTTCAAAGTGGACTTCACAAACCAATGCTTTATGTCACGCTGGATACGTCTTTTATGTAAGTATACATACTCCATACACCTAAACTGAACTCCACACTTTATCAGTCCAGTCTGCTAGTATTTCTCCAGCATCATGCTGTGCTGTCTTCTCCAAATTGTGCCGACTCATATCTGTTTTGGGGGGTTTTCTGAAGTTTTTTTTTCACAGAAGTTTAATATTGCCAGTGCTCTCAATCATCTCTGTGTGGATGTTGCCTGAGTGACACAGTGGGTGTCTCTGGATCGGGCTAAAGAGAGGAGGAGGGCTTATTTTTACCGCTGCTTTGGGAAACATTGGGTTGCAATCACTGGGAGAAAAGATGGTTCTAATTACAGTCTCTTTTATTCCCTCTCCCCCTCTGTCTCTGCATCTCTCTCTTTCTTCCCCTCTCAGTCTACCATTCTGCTTTCTGTATTTTCATCCACCCCCCTAATCAATAAGCTGGAATGTTCTCCGTTTAAAATTGCACATGGCATATTTTTAAGTATAGAGCAAAAGGGACACTTTTAAAGGGTGTTGTGCCTGACATTAATGCTTGGAAAACTGAATAACAGAAGTAAAGAGGGTGGCGGGTCCTGTGCAGCTCTCATGAAACAACATCTGCAGCAGCACACCAGGCCAATAATAATGTTGTGTTTAAGCGATAATGCCTGTTTTTATACGTGTCAATCTGTGATTGCGATGTACCGTTGTTAACTGTGATAGCTGAGTGTATGTTATGAAAAATAAGTTGCTGTTGTTCAAGCGATGGTCAGCATTGTGTGGACCACCAGATATGTCAAAGTGCCTCCAGCGGCATATACCCACACATGTCTGGCAGCTGTAACTGTATGGTAAAAAAGTTACATTCATGCCAAACTAAACCCACAGACAAAGATGGCGGATTAGAGGCTTCCAGGTCCTACAAGGATCTGGTTAAAAGCTCTCCTGCATGGAGGATGACTGGGGGGGAAAGGGTGGAAAGGGAAAAAATCAGAGAACCAGCGGTGAAGGCGGAAAACGAGTGGGGTGGCGAGGGGAAGAGGTAAAAGGATTGAGGTGGAAGGATTTCTCTGGAGAAGAAAGAGAGGGGGAGTGCAGGATTAGAGGCTAAGAGCAGTGTGAAGAAAGGGATCAGAGGCGGGGGAGTGAAAAGAGAAAAAGAGACATAGCAGAAGGGAAGGAGTCTGCATCTGCCAGCAGTCCGTGGCTGTCAGTGGCAGGGCCTCTCTCCCAGCACCAGGGGCTCCAGGGCTGTGGCCACATAATGAAGGCTTGTTTGAGTTCACATTCAAACATCACAGAGAGCGCCTGGAAAAACAGTGCCCCACGGGCTACTTTTATTAACCCAGCTAGTGTTCCCAGCCTTTAACCCTGTTCCTAAAGTCTTCGTCATATCGAGTCTGGAACCTTTACCAGTTTGAGCGTAGCTCTGTAGGCACTGGAGACTCTCCCCTGTCTCCTGACTGTGAGAAAATTAGCAAAGAGCTTTTCACAAGCACAGTTAATTGAGAACGATACTGTTGCACAAGATCGGGTTTTAGCGCTACACTCCTGGCACTTTCTGTCTCATGCAGAAGCTCCATCGGCTGCTCTTGCTGTTTGTCTTTTCTCTCTCTACGTCTCTGTCATAACACGCACAAGCCCGCTGAATGATGGCCCTGCGAGATTCACAGGGGAGGATATTTGACTCAGGATTTTCCGATAATAGGATTTGAAGCATGCTTGCAACAGATAGTGGTTTTGTGGTGAAGGAAAGGAATACGTGATCCTGCTTCTGTATGTAAATACAGCAGTCGTTTATGACAGCAGTGTTAAACTGTATTCCTGTCGCTGCTATTAAGATGATTTCATTCTTTTTTTTATGGTTTGAACAGCAAACCAAGCCGGAATTGACTTGTTTGAGTTTGGACTCCTTCATGAAGACAGGAGAAGTTTCACAGAACAACCTGGACTTGTAAGCATTTAAAAAAAAAGAAATCCTCCGTCAGCTTGACACAGTAGGAGAACATAATGAAAGACATAGAAAATCAAGGGGGCTTTCTGAAATCCAGCAGGGAATCTGAGTCTCCTCGGTTTTTTTGTTTTTGTTTTTGCTAGGGTTGCCTGTTTGAAGGGCCCGTAAGTCACAAATCCCCTTAAAACCCCCTGGAGTCACTGAGGATGTATCAGGCCCCTGGATCTGTTCTATGCAGGGCTGGTGACGGGCTCTAGTCCGGAGCCAGCCAGGGGGAAGAGGACAGCTACTGTGAGGGCGCCCGGAGAGCCGGGAGTCACTCAGCCACAGAAACCCTGTGTTTGTGTATGGAGCGCAGTGCTCTTATCTCCCGCCTGTACTGACGCCACACTCTTCCTGTTTCAAATCTTTACTGCTGATTTTCTCTTCACTCTTGCCTCAGCCCCAGCCAGTCCTGTTGTTTTTTGGTGTTCTTGTTCTTTTCAGTGGAGATTAGATAGAGCTGCTCTGGCGACATAAGAGACAGAAGCATAGCTGGTTTGGATGTGAGCTAATATTTTGTGCTTATCACGAAATAATAGCCTGTTCGGGGCTTTTAAAGAATGTCCTAATTGTGCTTAATCCTAAAATGTCTGTGATTAAATTACATGTTAAAATTTGAACCAAAAAAAAGTGTGTGTTCTGCTTTAGAGATGCCTGCTCCGTTGCATAAGACTCCACAGTGGAAAAAAGAAGTCTTAGAAAACAAGTTACATGCAATTTCCTGCTTTTTTCTGAAGGTGCTTGAAGTGAAGTTGTAACAATGACACAAATGCAACCGACATACAGTAAAACCTCCAGATTATGGGTTTATTGTACAGGTGCAAATGGATTTCAGTACAACATCAGCAATTCCACTGACTAAGAAATTATTTTCTCAACCCGTTAAAACTGACATAAACTCTTCTATGGTAACTATTTCTATAAATCCAGGAACAAGGGACGGCATATTTAAAATCTTTTTACTAGTTCTGTTCTGACTCTTCGGACATATATTTGTGAAATATTGTGAGAATAAAGGCCCTCAATACCAGTTATGATTTTTACACAAGCATGTGCAGAGATAAGAAAATCAGAGATCCATCTGTCCACGCCATTTCTAAAACCTATAATCCAATATCAGTACACAGAGACTCAGCATTAATCATTAAAATAATCCATTTGTTTTTAAACAACCAATCAATTTCTTAAAGGCTTTTTTATAATTTTAGTCATGAACCTGCTGTTTACTTATTTTGACTCCTTAAGAACGGTCTGTGGTGTATCACATTCGAGGGGTTAAACATCCTCAGTTTGACTCTGTTATTTTTGGAAATGGTAATAAATGTTAATTACAGTTTTCTGTTACACTGTAAACCTGTTTTACACACCTGACTAAAACACATAAAGTTGGTCTCGATTCATCATGAAAAATCTCCCCAGCATATATAATAAAAGGCAATTATAATGGATAGTTTAGTCCATAATATTTACAAAAATCACTTTTGGGGGGTTGTGTCAGGAAAGGCATCCAGAGTGAAAAATCTGCCAAATCAAACATGTGGAGCTACCCGCTGTGGTGACCTCTTGTGAGTAAGGGAGCAGCAACTCCAAGTAGCCAAGTTTACTTTGTAATATTAGCACTCACCTTTAAACAGACCTGTTCAGAATCTGATTTGTTAATTGATCCCTTCTTATTTTTTGCCTCTTTTAAATGCATACCTTATAAACAGCTATGGTAAAGCTTAATATATGCTTCTTTGGTTTGGTGCATCAACACAAAACCAAGATGGTTTGTGATACCGTCTTGGTTTTGTGGTTCTTCTCTTTCAATGTAGTATTAGCTGCCATGTTTCATTGTTCGTGCTGTAATTAGTTACTTTCAATACAGACAATACTCAGACAAATTGCATAATTTTAGGGGTTTACAGGACACAGCAGAGTAGAAAAACGAAAGTGAATGCGAACAGAAACATGCACACGCACATACACAAATACATGACTGGAATAAAGGATTTTATGTGTTTTAGGCCACTTTACATCTCACATTACAGCTCCTCTCAGGTTTTGAGTGTTGTGCTAAACCTGAAGTCTTGTGCAAATTATGTAGCTATCAGTGACCTATAAATTAAAACCAGTCTGAGAAAATTGTGAATGATCTCTGGACTTAAATAATAAAAATTGTTTAGTTGACACTTACTGCATCCTCTAAGAGGAGATCTGAAAAGTATGCAGGATGCAGCTGACAGTTCTGGCTGTATACATGTATGAGTTATATAGTGTCCATTAGTGAATGTGCACCTTGGGTATAAACCAGGCTGGCATGCTACACGTGTTAGTTTCACAAACTGAAAATTGTATTGATACAATTAATGTTTGCAGTTGGCAATGTTACCTTACCTAACAGAAGTGTAAGCTGGATAAATAAATAATAAACTTGACAATTAAAACTGTAATTTAGACTTAAGCTGGTAAAAAAAAAATACTACTTAATAAAAGTGGTTAAAGATGTTCTTATTATAATCCTGGATATTTGACAGGAAGGCAAAAGTCTCTTTGGTGGAGCCACAAAACATGTTCATATCCTGGAAAAACACTGGTATGTGGAGCAACCTCTTGCTTGGTGTGACTCTTTAAACTAAAACATTGTATACATTAAGAAAATATATTTTAAATCCATGCATTACACAAAAAATGATATTGCACAAATTGTGCACAAACTGGTTTAGTAAGTGTGGGAAGTGTCTATTTTTCATCTCCTGCTTTACAAAATCAAAAACAGCCATCTAAAATACATAAACACTGAAAGAGGTGCCTAACAGTCCTCTGCTTGGTATTTTCAAGCGTCACTACCAGTCTTCCTCTCCCTTGTCTGGCCTACCCGGCTGCCTGGATGGCTGATTCTGATGGCGCCAAGCACTCTGCAACTCTGCCGTAATCAGGAACAGTGAGGGGCAGTCTCTATCACAGAGAGTTTCTTTCCCTTTCCTTTGTTTTCCACAGATTTCCTTCCTCGTTTTCTTAGATATTCTTTCCCCCTGATGTAAGTCCAAACAGAGGCCTATTTAGAAAGTAAACAGATGAATGAGGGGAGGTTCTGAGCCTGGCGTCCGTGGAGTCAGGCACTGAGTGGAGACGTCTCGCTCCACCCGCCCTGTGCTGACACAGCCTGTAAATATACAGCATGACAAATGGCATGGCTCTGCAGCAGTCCCCCGACCAATCTCTGGCAAGCAGGCCTGATGCCGGAGAGGCTAGCCGACAGGCCGTGTCTGATTCACTGTCACAAGAGACACATTGTTTATAGGACAGAGAGACACTGTAACACAAATACTAATACCCCTAGAGTGGGTGACACATTGGGAAATCCCTTGGTTTGTGGCTCCAGCATTGGCCTCAAGGAGAACATTGCAAGGAGAAGTTTGTTGCTTCTCCTTGCTGAAAAGTGTCTTACACTGCGTGTCCTGCCTTGCATGTATATCCTGATGATAATGCACCATGCCTAATTTTTTGCCCTGGCCTTTTCGCCTTGCTCTAGTTACACCAGCTTGGCTTCCGATCCTTGGCTTTCCACAAAATATTCCTTTGCCCGACTGTGACTGGAAACATATATTTTCACCATAGCAAATTTATTTTCATGCTTCTCTCAAAGGACATCCTCTCAGGGAATATTCATCTTGGGAGAGTTCAAACAACAGTTTTTCTTCCTGTTTGTCTCAGTTTTTTGCAAAAACACTGGCTATCATGCATATCCTAGCTCCGTGATAACTCAATAACTAAGTAAAAGGCCACACATAGAGATGTTGATGGATTTGATGGATCATTGTGGAGGAAAAGTTTAGAGAAAGGAATTTCTTTGGGGGTGTGTGGGGGGTGCAGGGGGTGGAGGCCCATGGAGGGAAAAGGCTCTGTTTGACCTCTAAGGATAGACCTGCAAACTGAAACGACCACCCTATTTCCGGCCATACTCTCTACCAGGATTTCCTTCCCATGTCTAGGCCCAAATCTACTGAAGCACCAGGGACATGGGCCACAGTGGGCCACCTATTGTGAGCTGGCTCACTAGCTGAGGTCACACGGGGAGCCTGTGAGCGCCAGACTGGCAGGCGATCCATGGTTTCCTCCAAGATAGGAGATCAAGTAAATCAGAGTTAGGAGCCGTTACCCTTTAAGAGTCCTAATGACCACTGCTCCTTCCCCCCACCACACGGCTATGTCTGCGATGTGGAGCATTATGAGGATGGTATTTTGTGCTATCATCCATTTTTCATCGACTGGCTCTCCTTTCAGCAAACATGATATCATCCTGGTATCATGGCTAACTTAATGCAGCCAGTATTAGTGTTGTGTTATGTAGCATTAGCATATAGACTGGAGCTCCATTAGTCATGCCCTGGACTTTTGCCCCACATGGATACTGTGTTACCTCTTAAGAGGATCCATTTTTCACAGGCTGCCGTGGGCTATAAAGACAAGAGACAAACCAATTGATTTTAATTCGTTGGCAGCGTCAGGGGAGCCTGTTTGAATGGACACATGGAGATTCATCTCCCTAAGCACTAGTGATGACAAGACTATAATGACAACTATCTGATCGAGACCGATTTGCTGTTGCTCGAACAACAGAAACATCTTTGATGTTGTGCAAGTTGTTGAGCATTACACCTACTAGGACACCTTTAAAAACCCACCTGACATTTATTATTCTCATTTGCACATTGTAGCCATCTCCTTATACAGGGAGTGCAGAATTATTAGGCAAATGAGTATTTTGTCCACATCATCCTCTTCATGCATGTTGTCTTACTCCAAGCTGTATAGGCTTGAAAGCCTACTACCAATTAAGCATATTAGGTGATGTGCATCTCTGTAATGAGAAGGGGTGTGGTCTAATCACATCAACACCCTATATCAGGTGTGCATAATTATTAGGCAACGTCCTTTCCTTTGGCAAAATGGGTCAAAAGAAGGACTTGACAGGCTCAGAAAAGTCAAAAATAGTGAGATATCTTGCAGAGGGATGCAGCAGTCTCAAAATTGCAAAGCTTCTGACGCGTGATCATCGAACAATCAAGCGTTTCATTCAAAATAGTCAACAGGGTCGCAAGAAGCGTGTGGAAAAACCAAGGCGCAAAATAACTGCCCATGAACTGAGAAAAGTCAAGCGTGCAGCTGCCAAGATGCCACTTGCCACCAGTTTGGCCATATTTCAGAGCTGCAACATCACTGGAGTGCCCAAAAGCACAAGGTGTGCAATACTCAGAGACATGGCCAAGGTAAGAAAGGCTGAAAGACGACCACCACTGAACAAGACACACAAGCTGAAACGTCAAGACTGGGCCAAGAAATATCTCAAGACTGGTTTTTCTAAGGTTTTATGGACTGATGAAATGAGAGTGAGTCTTGATGGGCCAGATGGATGGGCCCGTGGCTGGATTGGTAAAGGGCAGAGAGCTCCAGTCCGACTCAGACGCCAGCAAGGTGGAGGTGGAGTACTGGTTTGGGCTGGTATCATCAAAGATGAGCTTGTGGGGCCTTTTCGGGTTGAGGATGGAGTCAAGCTCAACTCCCAG